TACCGTCGTCGTAGGTATGGCGCATATGTACGACGTGCACGCTTTTCTCAAGGTGCTGTGCATAGTGATACGGCTCTTGGAAGAAAATGGGTTGAGTTCCATAGAGCCTGTCGATGACGATCTTTAAACGCGCGACACGTTTCGATTCATTCCTTGAACCACCCAGTCACTTGAAAGGAGATCGGCTCGATCGGTCGATCGAAAGTTTTCCAAGGTTACTGGTTGTACAGAGACGTGATCTTCGCAGAAGAAATCAACTGGGGAGCCCTGCAATCAGTCCGGAGTGCCAAAGAATTCAGAGCATTGTATGCAGATCAGGAAGGATTTCGGCTTGGCGGTATGTTTGACCATGAAATTCACTATCCGCTCAGCGACACTGGTGTAGCTGACTCGACGCGACGACCAGGGACTTACTTGAAAGGTTGACCGGAGAACGCGACAGCTGTACTTAGGAATCCACTTATCGCGCAGCACATGAGTGGCTGGCAGCGCGACATTTTGGCTGAGAGCCAGCAGATCGTTCATGTCTTTACTATCATCACTGGACATACTGAGGCTGCCAGACGAGTATCTCGCCGGATCGGCCAGAAGATCGATCTTGGACACCTTTAATTTCTGGGGAGTCGCTGAAGAATCTGGAGAAGGAGATCGCAAGTTGGAGCTGAATTCTTTAATGACAATTGTGGATGTGGTTCGATCGAGTCCAGTCGACTTAGCATCAGTTGAAGCGCGTCTGCGGAAAGTAGATCGCGTTCCAAATCGCGGCGCGAGTGGCATCTCCCGAAGAACTGGAAGAATCACGCATGGTCGAGGACTAAGAAATTTTATTCTTCGGACCTGCTTGATCTTCCACCTTGCCTAGCGACGTCTTCGGGGAGGTCGCCGGAACACGCTTAACCGGAGGGCGATTAGAAGAGTTCTTGAGCATTCTCCAGATGAACGCTTGGACGATACCGACCAGGATTTGTTGTTCAAATCTATCAAAAATTTCGATCGCTTGGACTTAGGTGATCGCTTTTATTCAAGTGAGTGCTCTTAAGAAGGCGATCATGCGGGTGCTGCCGTCGGTGCGGATGCAGTCGATCGAGGAGGGTCGACCGTTTGCAGTGGACCAGCTGATTGTGTGGGATCATCCGTCGAGGCCGACTTAGTTGATCAAGTGTACGGAGACGACCGCGAGTACAGCGTTGTATTTGTCAAGTACGTACGCGATTCTGGCTTACCAGATTGCGTGATCTTGTCCTGTGGCTTAGAATCATATGCCTGCACTGAGTCGGCTGATCGCGTGACTGGAGCTGATCGCGCAAACCGAAAAGACGATTTCGAGCGTACAGATCGCGTCGAAACCTTGGCTGGGGTCAACGGAGAGAAGGCTCTAGAATCCCGAGAACGCTTATATGGGACACCATAATTGCCGTCGCCCCGGGGACGTTTGCTGTACGAAGAAACTGGAGGAGAAGCTACATTGAACGCAACGCAGAAGCTAACGGAGTTAGATAAGCCCGAAGATTATCACGGTGTGAAACAGCAAGTTCACCATCAGCGATCGAGACATCACGAGAGCTTTCTCGATCTTGGGCCAAAAGTTAAAGAAGCGCATTGTTGGAGTGATAACCCGCCATCAAATTTGGCTGTCGATCTAGCTCGCGTTTCTGATCAATTATCGACGCGCAGTTTTGATCACGTAGCGTGGAAAATGATGCTATCTGTTTATCAAGATCGGCTATCTTCTGCTGATTGCGAACAGAGGCAACCTGGCGCTTCTTCGCGTCGGCGTCCTGAAGAGCCCGGATTGACTCGAGCTGCAAAAAATTGGGATATCAACTTTTGACTGAGAAATTTGTTTTCGTGCCGACACTCTTTTTCGAAAGACACAGAATAATGGCCTGATCCCAACGAACCTTCTCTGGGTTAGAGAAGGTATCTTCGAATAAGAATGTCTCCAAGCGCTTTACTCATTCTATAAGTCGCAGATTATCGCCAGCTGATCCTCCTGCCTACTCAAGATCTTTGCGCGTTCATCGCTGAGCTCGCGGAAGCCATTAAAGATGGAAAATAGACGATCCAAACGCTGCTTGACATTCCCGCGCCTTTGGGCCCCGATTTCACGGAGAAGTTTAACTCCTGCTCCAAGCGATCGCCGCGGTGCTTCTCTTCTCTCAGCGCTTCCTTAAGGGAGAGGTAACGCCTCGAGATCTCCTCATAGCTCTCCAAACGATCGTAAAGAGCGGCCACCATGCCGGCCATCGTTGGTCGATCAACACAAGTAGAGGTCGTTATTCGGGTACTGAAAAGAAGCGAGTATGACCCGGCGTGTGGACCACTGGGGGCGGGGACGGGCGTCACCTGACCTGGACCTGGAGACGACTCACCCGAATCGGAAGGAGAAGAGGTGCCAGAAGGTTTTGTCGTCGACACGGCTTGGGTTAAAATGGTGGGACCGGTGAAGCAGAGTGATAAGTGCGCAGTCAGATCGACACTGTGTTGCGACTAACGGCGCAGGGGACGTCTGTGGTAAAGCGACTACTAAAAGTTGCGATAGGGTAACTGATCGCGCTCCAGATATATCCGAGTCAGTTAACGGTTGGCAGCGCCGTTCCCACAACTGGTCGGATCGCGTACACTGGTCGGTAGGACAAAACTGGATATCATATTGGACAGGATGGGACCTGCGATATCGGGTTAAAGTATGACGGACGAAGGGTACGAGTGCTGGAGATGGATTCATTGGCATGGGGAAGATTACGTTAGCGATCAGTCGATCAAGAAGGTAACCGCGATCAGCAAGGCAATCGCTATCAGGAGGCGATCGAGATTGTGATCAGGGATCAGGTATGTGATCGCGATCAGGCTAGCGTGGGTTACGCAACACGATCGGCGATCAGAAGGGCGAATACAATCGGATAAGTATATCAGGTGTGTGCCACGCAAGTACAAGGTCGCTACCGTATAGAGAGAGCGACATGTGGCAAGCATTGTCCTAGACATGAGAATAGGGATAGGGATAGGGTTGTCGGGTTTGAGTCGTAAACATTAAATATAGTGCAATTTGATTTAAATTACACGTGTCGACTTCTTCTCCGGGTGGATCACTGGCCACTCGACGTCAAGGAAATGTTACATACTTTAATCAATTGATATCCCTGGATTGATTGACCAGGGATTAAAAAGTATCGAGCAATTTCCAACTGCTACTGGACGCAGGAAAATATTTGTGGTCGAGGACTCAAGATCGCGAGACAGCTCAAGTGGTTAGAAGGATCGCGAATCAAGGTCTACATTTAAAAATGACGATCTGTTACAGATCAGGGTGACTCATATCGAGCACCCTACAAGTATCTAAGTGATCCCGTACAAAGTTACACGAGATAACGTCAACCCCGGTCGCGATGTGAAGATTTACACATCGAGATCAAACCTCGACCCCATCGCAACACTGTCGCGTTTTCCACTGACACGAGTCCACCTGGAAGAGTGCAACCCTCCCTACCGACGGGTACACAATGTGACGAAGGCTATCAAGAACACGTAGTCAGAGTACATCCTTAGTTAATCGGTCGTCCGGGCGCCAGTGGAGAATTGGTATCGATTTCTCAAAAGAGCGATCACCACTCCACCACATGCGCGTTGTGTGCATTTACGGACAGGACGGAGGCTGGTATGGGGCTGGGCGTGGATGACCTGATCGCACAGTTCAGGGAACCTTCTTCGGACTCCTCGAAATCAATCGCTCGGTAGCATAGCGTGGGTTTTCACCAGGAAGATCGTCCAAGCGTCGACGCTTACGTCCGATGCGTAGAGTAGACGGCGAGGGCATCGTAGACGGGGTCCCGATGACCACGTAAGTTTCTAGTCAACGTACTTACAAACACCTGAGGCTATGATAGGTGCTGCGCAGGCGGGAAGCACGCAAGCCGCCCGTCCGAGTGCACGAGCATCAGCATCGAGTGCTAATCCGAATTCATCGCCGCGAGGTAATACATCATTTTGCGTACCGCTTGACCCTAGCGGTGCGAATTTTCCTTTTGGGGGGTCAGGTTCGGGGCCCCCCCGCCCCCCTTGGGTTTTCCGCTTGCCAGAGGTGGGCGCGAGGGGCGTGGTGTCCGCCGGTGGTCGCGGCTTGTTGGTGGGGCGCGGCAGCCCGTTGGTCGGGAGGGGGGGGGGGGGGGCGCCCGTGGTGGGGATGTGCTACTCCTCGCCGAAACTCAACCTCCCACCCCCCCCCTGTTCTTCCTCCGGGAAGGGAGGAGTAAAAAAAAAAAAAAAAATGTCTCCGTTTGTGATTCCCCCCCCCCCCCCCGCGCCCCCGACAAAATTGGGAAAAGCGCACGACAAAGGATCCATGTCCATTCCAAAGTCACCTCGCTTGATGATGTACATCTAGGATATACATATATTCTTAGTATCAGCAATGATTAAAGAATCTACACGACATAGACAGCAACGCACCATCAGCTTGTTCTCGTTCTTCGTGCCTCGCTTCGTTTTTGCACTAAGCAACACTGGCGTCAGCTTCTAGTTCCCATGTTGCGACGACGACAGCGACGACAGATGCTCGCCCGAGATCTCAATCGCTGAGATAACGATCGCATCACTGAGCCAGGTGTTGGGCGACTGGATTCGACTGACGTCGGAACGGTAGAATGCATTCAACCGCTCTCGCAACAGCAGATAGATAGATAGATAGATAGATAGATAGTAGTAGATAGATAGATAGATAGGTAGATAGATAGATCCTCGAAGCGCCGACGACGTGTCTGCAATAGTGGTGGCATCATATTGAACGTCAAAGACGCTGGGCGGCGGGCTTCGTCGAAAGCTCTGTCGTCGTCGTCGTCTCGCAAGCAATGCTCACAGAGTCATTCGTCATCGCAGCAAACAGGCGGTGTGCCGTTGTAACTGGTGCCGGTGCATCAACGAGGAACCCTCGAGGCGTGTTGGTCTTCCCAAAGTCGAGCAAGTGACTGCACAAAACGTTGAAGTACTTGCGAGGCTTGACGCTAGCGGTGCGAATTTTCCTTTTGCAGTGTCAAGATCTGCGACAGCTTCGCCGCCTTTGTTTTCACCGTTCGCAAGCGGTTGACGCGAGCGACGTGGTATCCGTCGGTCGGCGTATCTTGCTTGGTCTGGCGCAGGACCTTGATCGTCAGGAGGCTCTCGTTGGGCACGCTCTTGAACGTGCTAATGAACTCCGGCTTGAAACTCACAAGCCCAACCATCTCTTGTTCGTCCTCGATAACGGTAGGGCTGAAAAAGCAAAAGATGACGTCGCCATTGATGATTCCAGCTCGCCAATCCGGTCCGAACTCGACAACGTTGGGAACAGCGCACGACAAAGGATCCATGTCCATTCCAAAGTCACCTCGCTTGATGATGTACATCTAGGATATACATATATTCTTAGTATCAGCAATGATTAAAGAATCTACACGACATAGACAGCAACGCACCATCAGCTTGTTCTCGTTCTTCTTGCCTCGCTTCGTTTTTGCACTAAGCAACACTGGCGTCAGCTTCTAGTTCCCATGTTGCGACGACGACAGCGACGACAGATGCTCGCCCGAGATCTCAATCGCTGAGATAACGATCGCATCACTGAGCCAGGTGTTGGGCGACTGGATTCGACTGACGTCGGAACGGTAGAATGCATTCAACCGCTCTCGCAACAGCAGATAGATAGATAGATAGATAGATAGATAGATAGATAGATAGATAGATAGATAGATAGATAGATCCTCGAAGCGCCGACGACGTGTCTGCAATAGTGGTGGCATCATATTTAACGTCAAAGACGCTGGGCGGCGGGATTCGTCGAAAGCTCTGTCGTCGTCGTCGTCTCGCAAGCAATGCTCACAGAGTCATTCGTCATCGCAGCAAACAGGCGGTGTGCCGTTGTAACTGGTGCCGGTGCATCAACGAGGAACCCTCGAGGCGTGTTGGTCTTCCCAAAGTCGAGCAAGTGACTGCACAAAACGTTGAAGTACTTGCGAGGCTTGACGCTAGCGGTGCGAATTTTCCTTTTGCAGTGTCAAGATCTGCGACCGCTTCGCCGCCTTTGTTTTCACCGTTCGCAAGCGGTTGACGCGAGCGACGTGGTATCCGTCGGTCGGCGTATCTTGTTGGTCTGGCGCAGGACCTTGATCGTCAGGAGGCTCTCGTTGGGCACGCTCTTGAACGTGCTAATGAACTCCGGCTTGAAACTCACAAGCCCAACCATCTCTTGTTCGTCCTCGATAACGGTAGGGCTGAAAAAGCAAAAGATGACGTCGCCATTGATGATTCCAGCTCGCCAATCCGGTCCGAACTCGACAACGTTGGGAACAGCGCACGACAAAGGATCCATGTCCATTCCAAAGTCACCTCGCTTGATGATGTACATCTAGGATATACATATATTCTTAGTATCAGCAATGATTAAAGAATCTACACGACATAGACAGCAACGCACCATCAGCTTGTTCTCGTTCTTCTTGCCTCGCTTCGTTTTTGCACTAAGCAACACTGGCGTCAGCTTCTAGTTCCCATGTTGCGACGACGACAGCGACGACAGATGCTCGCCCGAGATCTCAATCGCTGAGATAACGATCGCATCACTGAGCCAGGTGTTGGGCGACTGGATTCGACTGACGTCGGAACGGTAGAATGCATTCAACCGCTCTCGCAACAGCAGATAGATAGATAGATAGATAGATAGATAGATAGATAGATAGATAGATAGATAGATAGGTAGATAGATAGATCCTCGAAGCGCCGACGACGTGTCTGCAATAGTGGTGGCATCATATTTAACGTCAAAGACGCTGGGCGGCGGGATTCGTCGAAAGCTCTGTCGTCGTCGTCGTCTCGCAAGCAATGCTCACAGAGTCATTCGTCATCGCAGCAAACAGGCGGTGTGCCGTTGTAACTGGTGCCGGTGCATCAACGAGGAACCCTCGAGGCGTGTTGGTCTTCCCAAAGTCGAGCAAGTGACTGCACAAAACGTTGAAGTACTTGCGAGGCTTGACGCTAGCGGTGCGAATTTTCCTTTTGCAGTGTCAAGATCTGCGACCGCTTCGCCGCCTTTGTTTTCACCGTTCGCAAGCGGTTGACGCGAGCGACGTGGTATCCGTCGGTCGGCGTATCTTGTTGGTCTGGCGCAGGACCTTGATCGTCAGGAGGCTCTCGTTGGGCACGCTCTTGAACGTGCTAATGAACTCCGGCTTGAAACTCACAAGCCCAACCATCTCTTGTTCGTCCTCGATAACGGTAGGGCTGAAAAAGCAAAAGATGACGTCGCCATTGATGATTCCAGCTCGCCAATCCGGTCCGAACTCGACAACGTTGGGAACAGCGCACGACAAAGGATCCATGTCCATTCCAAAGTCACCTCGCTTGATGATGTACATCTAGGATATACATATATTCTTAGTATCAGCAATGATTAAAGAATCTACACGACATAGACAGCAACGCACCATCAGCTTGTTCTCGTTCTTCTTGCCTCGCTTCGTTTTTGCACTAAGCAACACTGGCGTCAGCTTCTAGTTCCCATGTTGCGACGACGACAGCGACGACAGATGCTCGCCCGAGATCTCAATCGCTGAGATAACGATCGCATCACTGAGCCAGGTGTTGGGCGACTGGATTCGACTGACGTCGGAACGGTAGAATGCATTCAACCGCTCTCGCAACAGCAGATAGATAGATAGATAGATAGATAGATAGATAGATAGATAGATAGATAGATAGATAGATAGATAGATAGATCCTCGAAGCGCCGACGACGTGTCTGCAATAGTGGTGGCATCATATTTAACGTCAAAGACGCTGGGCGGCGGGATTCGTCGAAAGCTCTGTCGTCGTCGTCGTCTCGCAAGCAATGCTCACAGAGTCATTCGTCATCGCAGCAAACAGGCGGTGTGCCGTTGTAACTGGTGCCGGTGCATCAACGAGGAACCCTCGAGGCGTGTTGGTCTTCCCAAAGTCGAGCAAGTGACTGCACAAAACGTTGAAGTACTTGCGAGGCTTGACGCTAGCGGTGCGAATTTTCCTTTTGCAGTGTCAAGATCTGCGACCGCTTCGCCGCCTTTGTTTTCACCGTTCGCAAGCGGTTGACGCGAGCGACGTGGTATCCGTCGGTCGGCGTATCTTGTTGGTCTGGCGCAGGACCTTGATCGTCAGGAGGCTCTCGTTGGGCACGCTCTTGAACGTGCTAATGAACTCCGGCTTGAAACTCACAAGCCCAACCATCTCTTGTTCGTCCTCGATAACGGTAGGGCTGAAAAAGCAAAAGATGACGTCGCCATTGATGATTCCAGCTCGCCAATCCGGTCCGAACTCGACAACGTTGGGAACAGCGCACGACAAAGGATCCATGTCCATTCCAAAGTCACCTCGCTTGATGATGTACATCTAGGATATACATATATTCTTAGTATCAGCAATGATTAAAGAATCTACACGACATAGACAGCAACGCACCATCAGCTTGTTCTCGTTCTTCTTGCCTCGCTTCGTTTTTGCACTAAGCAACACTGGCGTCAGCTTCTAGTTCCCATGTTGCGACGACGACAGCGACGACAGATGCTCGCCCGAGATCTCAATCGCTGAGATAACGATCGCATCACTGAGCCAGGTGTTGGGCGACTGGATTCGACTGACGTCGGAACGGTAGAATGCATTCAACCGCTCTCGCAACAGCAGATAGATAGATAGATAGATAGATAGATAGATAGATAGATAGATAGATAGATAGATCCTCGAAGCGCCGACGACGTGTCTGCAATAGTGGTGGCATCATATTTAACGTCAAAGACGCTGGGCGGCGGGATTCGTCGAAAGCTCTGTCGTCGTCGTCGTCTCGCAAGCAATGCTCACAGAGTCATTCGTCATCGCAGCAAACAGGCGGTGTGCCGTTGTAACTGGTGCCGGTGCATCAACGAGGAACCCTCGAGGCGTGTTGGTCTTCCCAAAGTCGAGCAAGTGACTGCACAAAACGTTGAAGTACTTGCGAGGCTTGACGCTAGCGGTGCGAATTTTCCTTTTGCAGTGTCAAGATCTGCGACCGCTTCGCCGCCTTTGTTTTCACCGTTCGCAAGCGGTTGACGCGAGCGACGTGGTATCCGTCGGTCGGCGTATCTTGTTGGTCTGGCGCAGGACCTTGATCGTCAGGAGGCTCTCGTTGGGCACGCTCTTGAACGTGCTAATGAACTCCGGCTTGAAACTCACAAGCCCAACCATCTCTTGTTCGTCCTCGATAACGGTAGGGCTGAAAAAGCAAAAGATGACGTCGCCATTGATGATTCCAGCTCGCCAATCCGGTCCGAACTCGACAACGTTGGGAACAGCGCACGACAAAGGATCCATGTCCATTCCAAAGTCACCTCGCTTGATGATGTACATCTAGGATATACATATATTCTTAGTATCAGCAATGATTAAAGAATCTACACGACATAGACAGCAACGCACCATCAGCTTGTTCTCGTTCTTCTTGCCTCGCTTCGTTTTTGCACTAAGCAACACTGGCGTCAGCTTCTAGTTCCCATGTTGCGACGACGACAGCGACGACAGATGCTCGCCCGAGATCTCAATCGCTGAGATAACGATCGCATCACTGAGCCAGGTGTTGGGCGACTGGATTCGACTGACGTCGGAACGGTAGAATGCATTCAACCGCTCTCGCAACAGCAGATAGATAGATAGATAGATAGATAGATAGATAGATAGATAGATAGATAGATAGATAGATAGATAGATAGATAGTAGATAGATAGATCCTCGAAGCGCCGACGACGTGTCTGCAATAGTGGTGGCATCATATTTAACGTCAAAGACGCTGGGCGGCGGGATTCGTCGAAAGCGCTGTCGTCGTCGTCGTCTCGCAAGCAATGCTCACAGAGTCATTCGTCATCGCAGCAAACAGGCGGTGTGCCGTTGTAACTGGTGCCGGTGCATCAACGAGGAACCCTCGAGGCGTGTTGGTCTTCCCAAAGTCGAGCAAGTGACTGCACAAAACGTTGAAGTACTTGCGAGGCTTGACGCTAGCGGTGCGAATTTTCCTTTTGCAGTGTCAAGATCTGCGACCGCTTCGCCGCCTTTGTTTTCACCGTTCGCAAGCGGTTGACGCGAGCGACGTGGTATCCGTCGGTCGGCGTATCTTGTTGGTCTGGCGCAGGACCTTGATCGTCAGGAGGCTCTCGTTGGGCACGCTCTTGAACGTGCTAATGAACTCCGGCTTGAAACTCACAAGCCCAACCATCTCTTGTTCGTCCTCGATAACGGTAGGGCTGAAAAAGCAAAAGATGACGTCGCCATTGATGATTCCAGCTCGCCAATCCGGTCCGAACTCGACAACGTTGGGAACAGCGCACGACAAAGGATCCATGTCCATTCCAAAGTCACCTCGCTTGATGATGTACATCTAGGATATACATATATTCTTAGTATCAGCAATGATTAAAGAATCTACACGACATAGACAGCAACGCACCATCAGCTTGTTCTCGTTCTTCTTGCCTCGCTTCGTTTTTGCACTAAGCAACACTGGCGTCAGCTTCTAGTTCCCATGTTGCGACGACGACAGCGACGACAGATGCTCGCCCGAGATCTCAATCGCTGAGATAACGATCGCATCACTGAGCCAGGTGTTGGGCGACTGGATTCGACTGACGTCGGAACGGTAGAATGCATTCAACCGCTCTCGCAACAGCAGATAGATAGATAGATAGATAGATAGATAGATAGATAGATAGATAGATAGATAGATAGAGTAGATAGATAGATCCTCGAAGCGCCGACGACGTGTCTGCAATAGTGGTGGCATCATATTTAACGTCAAAGACGCTGGGCGGCGGGATTCGTCGAAAGCTCTGTCGTCGTCGTCGTCTCGCAAGCAATGCTCACAGAGTCATTCGTCATCGCAGCAAACAGGCGGTGTGCCGTTGTAACTGGTGCCGGTGCATCAACGAGGAACCCTCGAGGCGTGTTGGTCTTCCCAAAGTCGAGCAAGTGACTGCACAAAACGTTGAAGTACTTGCGAGGCTTGACGCTAGCGGTGCGAATTTTCCTTTTGCAGTGTCAAGATCTGCGACCGCTTCGCCGCCTTTGTTTTCACCGTTCGCAAGCGGTTGACGCGAGCGACGTGGTATCCGTCGGTCGGCGTATCTTGCTTGGTCTGGCGCAGGACCTTGATCGTCAGGAGGCTCTCGTTGGGCACGCTCTTGAACGTGCTAATGAACTCCGGCTTGAAACTCACAAGCCCAACCATCTCTTGTTCGTCCTCGATAACGGTAGGGCTGAAAAAGCAAAAGATGACGTCGCCATTGATGATTCCAGCTCGCCAATCCGGTCCGAACTCGACAACGTTGGGAACAGCGCACGACAAAGGATCCATGTCCATTCCAAAGTCACCTCGCTTGATGATGTACATCTAGGATATACATATATTCTTAGTATCAGCAATGATTAAAGAATCTACACGACATAGACAGCAACGCACCATCAGCTTGTTCTCGTTCTTCTTGCCTCGCTTCGTTTTTGCACTAAGCAACACTGGCGTCAGCTTCTAGTTCCCATGTTGCGACGACGACAGCGACGACAGATGCTCGCCCGAGATCTCAATCGCTGAGATAACGATCGCATCACTGAGCCAGGTGTTGGGCGACTGGATTCGACTGACGTCGGAACGGTAGAATGCATTCAACCGCTCTCGCAACAGCAGATAGATAGATAGATAGATAGATAGATAGATAGATAGATAGATAGATAGATAGATAGATAGATCCTCGAAGCGCCGACGACGTGTCTGCAATAGTGGTGGCATCATATTTAACGTCAAAGACGCTGGGCGGCGGGATTCGTCGAAAGCTCTGTCGTCGTCGTCGTCTCGCAAGCAATGCTCACAGAGTCATTCGTCATCGCAGCAAACAGGCGGTGTGCCGTTGTAACTGGTGCCGGTGCATCAACGAGGAACCCTCGAGGCGTGTTGGTCTTCCCAAAGTCGAGCAAGTGACTGCACAAAACGTTGAAGTACTTGCGAGGCTTGACGCTAGCGGTGCGAATTTTCCTTTTGCAGTGTCAAGATCTGCGACCGCTTCGCCGCCTTTGTTTTCACCGTTCGCAAGCGGTTGACGCGAGCGACGTGGTATCCGTCGGTCGGCGTATCTTGTTGGTCTGGCGCAGGACCTTGATCGTCAGGAGGCTCTCGTTGGGCACGCTCTTGAACGTGCTAATGAACTCCGGCTTGAAACTCACAAGCCCAACCATCTCTTGTTCGTCCTCGATAACGGTAGGGCTGAAAAAGCAAAAGATGACGTCGCCATTGATGATTCCAGCTCGCCAATCCGGTCCGAACTCGACAACGTTGGGAACAGCGCACGACAAAGGATCCATGTCCATTCCAAAGTCACCTCGCTTGATGATGTACATCTAGGATATACATATATTCTTAGTATCAGCAATGATTAAAGAATCTACACGACATAGACAGCAACGCACCATCAGCTTGTTCTCGTTCTTCTTGCCTCGCTTCGTTTTTGCACTAAGCAACACTGGCGTCAGCTTCTAGTTCCCATGTTGCGACGACGACAGCGACGACAGATGCTCGCCCGAGATCTCAATCGCTGAGATAACGATCGCATCACTGAGCCAGGTGTTGGGCGACTGGATTCGACTGACGTCGGAACGGTAGAATGCATTCAACCGCTCTCGCAACAGCAGATAGATAGATAGATAGATAGATAGATAGATAGATAGATAGATAGATAGATAGATAGATAGATAGATCCTCGAAGCGCCGACGACGTGTCTGCAATAGTGGTGGCATCATATTTAACGTCAAAGACGCTGGGCGGCGGGATTCGTCGAAAGCTCTGTCGTCGTCGTCGTCTCGCAAGCAATGCTCACAGAGTCATTCGTCATCGCAGCAAACAGGCGGTGTGCCGTTGTAACTGGTGCCGGTGCATCAACGAGGAACCCTCGAGGCGTGTTGGTCTTCCCAAAGTCGAGCAAGTGACTGCACAAAACGTTGAAGTACTTGCGAGGCTTGACGCTAGCGGTGCGAATTTTCCTTTTGCAGTGTCAAGATCTGCGACCGCTTCGCCGCCTTTGTTTTCACCGTTCGCAAGCGGTTGACGCGAGCGACGTGGTATCCGTCGGTCGGCGTATCTTGTTGGTCTGGCGCAGGACCTTGATCGTCAGGAGGCTCTCGTTGGGCACGCTCTTGAACGTGCTAATGAACTCCGGCTTGAAACTCACAAGCCCAACCATCTCTTGTTCGTCCTCGATAACGGTAGGGCTGAAAAAGCAAAAGATGACGTCGCCATTGATGATTCCAGCTCGCCAATCCGGTCCGAACTCGACAACGTTGGGAACAGCGCACGACAAAGGATCCATGTCCATTCCAAAGTCACCTCGCTTGATGATGTACATCTAGGATATACATATATTCTTAGTATCAGCAATGATTAAAGAATCTACACGACATAGACAGCAACGCACCATCAGCTTGTTCTCGTTCTTCTTGCCTCGCTTCGTTTTTGCACTAAGCAACACTGGCGTCAGCTTCTAGTTCCCATGTTGCGACGACGACAGCGACGACAGATGCTCGCCCGAGATCTCAATCGCTGAGATAACGATCGCATCACTGAGCCAGGTGTTGGGCGACTGGATTCGACTGACGTCGGAACGGTAGAATGCATTCAACCGCTCTCGCAACAGCAGATAGATAGATAGATAGATAGATAGATAGATAGATAGATAGATAGATAGATAGATAGATAGATAGATAGATAGATAGATAGATCCTCGAAGCGCCGACGACGTGTCTGCAATAGTGGTGGCATCATATTGAACGTCAAAGACGCTGGGCGGCGGGATTCGTCGAAAGCGCTGTCGTCGTCGTCGTCTCGCAAGCAATGCTCACAGAGTCATTCGTCATCGCAGCAAACAGGCGGTGTGCCGTTGTAACTGGTGCCGGTGCATCAACGAGGAACCCTCGAGGTGTGTTGGTCTTCCCAAAGTCGAGCAAGTGACTGCACAAAACGTTGAAGTACTTGCGAGGCTTGACGCTAGCGGTGCGAATTTTCCTTTTGCAGTGTCAAGCTCTGCTACAGCTTCGCCGCCTTTGTTTTCACCGTTCGCAAGCGGTTGACGCGAGCGACGTGGTATCCGTCGGTCGGCGTATCTTGTTGGTCTGGCGCAGGACCTTGATCGTCAGGAGGCTCTCGTTGGGCACGCTCTTGAACGTGCTAATGAACTCCGGCTTGAAACTCACGAGCTCAACCATCTCTCGTTCGTCCTCGATAACTGCAAGGCAAAAGAATAATAACGAATTGGCAGAATTTGGGGACGGAATCACTTTTGGTAATTGATTCGGCCCTGAGATCTCCACTCTAGAACGAAAATTATTGGTCATCTGCTAGTGATCTTTTATCTGCTTTGACCGCAACTTACTAACCGCACATCCTACAGAGATTACAAAATTTGTACTTTTGGGGTCTCTCCCATGAGGGGAAAGCTTTTCTTTATTTGATTGTTTTCTTTCTTCTCTCGGCGTTCGGTATAGCACATTTGTCATCGCGACTAGAACTTTTGGTCGTTGCAATATTCCGGACAACTTCTGATACAATTTACCAAAGGTCCTTCTACTCCCTCTTCATAATCGTCTCGAGGGTCGACCTGGACCGTGGTGGCTTTGTATGCTAAGTTAAGCCACTCCGCTTTTCTCCGATACTTCACCGAGACAAATCTATATGATCTGGGTACGTGATATCTCGTCCGCCACATGGCTATATTTGTATCATCGTGCATGATTTACGCATGTGGGCTAACGTTGGTCACCTTAAGCCACTGAAGGCGTTTTAACTAAACCACCCACTTCCCCGAGTCCTACTACTAATTCACATCTTCCATCGTTACAAGATCGACCTTTTCAGATAATCCTCTACAGATTCACCGGTGGGTATAAGCGCGTATCTTTCTATCTTCGCATTTAATGATTGTTATCTGTGAATGGACATTCGCCCGGAAAGGTGTATTTGCACCTCGTCCAGGAGGCAGAGTGCTCCATCTACTAGGTATAGTCGAATACCAGCCGGGATCATGATTCACCTTCAACTCATTAAACCACTTCGACAACTTCTCTGACTTCTTGAGTCTTGTAATTTGCGAGACCGCCGACGACTCTATCGGTCCCAAAGTCTGTGGCGAGCGATGCGCGTTAGTCGCTTCCGCGTGCACATCGTGGACTGCGTCGTCGCTGATGATCGCCGTCGACTTGGTTTGCGGCTTCTTCGTGTTCGACTATTTGCGCTTTGTGGATAGCGAGTGCGGCGACGACGCTGTCGGTCCCGGATTCTACGGCGCACACAGCGTGTTCATCGTTTGTGCGTGCGCGTCGTCGCTATATATCGGCGCTGTCATAATCCATTGCCCTGTTAGCACACTCATCAGGATTTTGAACTTCAAAATATCTCTGGCATTGGCCGAACGCTTCTTCTTCCACAGCAAATCGTGAAGAGCGACCTACAAGACAAGTGCAGCGTGTTTCAGTTGCGCGACCATACATGCAAAGCGTTAAACGGCAAAGAGTACCCCCATCTATTGAGTCCGCCTCGGAAAATTTGCGCACAGCATTGACGATGATTTTGTTGCTGCGAAGAATGAGGGCGGCTTACTATTTTTTAATGGTATGTGCTCCGTTAGCAATTTGACATAACTGGTTGTTAACGGAGTACATTCCATCAATGGGCAACAGGTGCTCTAAATCATACTAATTTGGCTAACTGGAAGCTAAATTTCTATACATTTATAATAAAGTTACAGCTACAACAAAAAGACAGAAACGAATGGACTTTTTCAGAAAAGGTAAACAACATAAATGGTCAATGCTCTTATGTTGGATTTCTATAAGAAGGGTAAACACCGCGTTAATTGCCATGTTGGAGCAGGGAGATAAAGCACAGTAAAAGCTTTGTGTTTTTGCACCCGCTCTTGTAATCTAAAGCGTTCCATGTAGCCTATGCATGTACTAGTATATGGTGTCAACTAGGGCCTCACGTACACGTGCGTACAGATGAAGATAGAGAATTTAGCACCATATCTAAATGCGACCTGTTAATCGTCAAAGAACATATTTATCTCGAAGTAATTGGTATAGACTTGGTCTAACCATGCATCAGACAGAGCAACCCGCATGTATCTCCTGATAGCCCAATGCTCTCGTCCTTCACAATTTTTTGCTGCCTTATTTAATCGTTGGGCATGTACATACAATTTGCAGAAGTTACAAAAATATGACAGTACACCTAATCTGCAAGACTATATTACAATTGCATTCGTTTGTATTGACATTGACAAGTGAAAAAATTATGTAGCCGGTATACGTTTATTCTCGGGAGTGGGGAAAATTTGTAAGACACCAACAAGTGTCAGAAATTAATCTATCGCCGTAAATACTGTATGTACTCACTACGTTGTATTTGATAAGAGAGTGTCAGAATGTATCAATTTATTGATGTTGCGGTGGTGTGTGGGAAATATATATTGCATACTAGAAGTAATTTTAGGCTATCAAGACAGGCCCAATTTAGTAGACGACTTATATGTTCAAATACACGTCAAATAAAGCTGTCATTTTGTAAAAACATATACAGATATATTAAAAGATTATCGCAGATTCGTGTAACGGGGTCGGTCCGTTACATAATTTGATACTTATGAATCGATTCTTCGTTATTATTGATATATATAATACTCAATCATTTTCACTCGAAAAGAGATAATGGTGGCGGAATATTACCGCCGAGGGTAATTTTCTTGGGTACTCCTCTTATTGGTTGATGTAGAGGCTACATCAACCAAATAAACCACCAATCGATGCTGGACGCGCGCAATGGGTGGTGAGTAAGAGACCCACGTAGGAGATGGTAGATTTAATATATTTAAATTAAGACGAGAAATGTTTATATAAGTATTAAAACTGCATTGATTAACAATTCTACGTTTTCCCCAGACAGAGCTTCCGAGTTCTGTTTGCTTCGGTTGCGCTTCCTCGTCACGTGTACTTGACGTCAGGAGCACGCATCATTTTGTTCCGATAATACAAGATCTTTCCGGTCATCTGGCACGAGCGTGATCTTTGACACCTGGTAGCACTTTGTAGTCCTTCCAGCTACCACGACCACCTCATTCAGCAAGAAAATGTTGGAGGAGGAGGTAATTTTCCACGCCACTCTTGAAGGCTTTGATCATTTAAGTGACATCAAATGGAGTGCAATGGAACGCATGAGTACTATCGTAGTCAAAATCGCTGTTAGCACCATGTTGGGGTCTCATAACAGAGACCAACAACACGCCGCTATCACCAGATTCGTCCAAATTACTTTTTTTCCTTGAGAAGAAGAAATTAATCTTGCTATACTATCAATCCTCTCAACAGGCCGATCAGTTAGGAGAACTCGGTGCGCAACAGACAGAGCTGTTAAGACAGAAACAATTTAATGCCGATATGGGCAAGACAACACACACTCGTCGTCCCGAAAATTTAAGGGTTGACATCTCCAAGTACAGAAGGGACAAGAAGGACTCCCTGTTGCTATTGATTAATTAAATTAAACATCCGATCGCCCTTGATCACGCATTGTATATATTGATCAAAGGGGGCGAGGTGAAATCAAATTTAAAATTAGATAATCGAATTGAATGAATGCAATATTTGATATAATTTAAAAAGAAGATTGACAAGTGAAGCTCTCACAGCCACGTCTTCGACGTATCGGGTAGGATGGAGCAGTGACGTTATTTTTATTGCAATACAAACACTAAAATAGTCACATATAATACAAAAAACATTCAAGTTTTGATATCTTCGACATCTACGACGAAATATGAGTCGCTTGCATATTTCACAAATAACACCCAAACTCCGAAATCTTCGACGAAGAATGATTCTGGCCAACGTCGCATCTAACCAACAAAAGCGTGCTTGTGAGAACGCAGCACGAACGTTTTCGAAGTTCCGTGAGGAGCTAGAGGTTAGTTGGTAATATCTGCAGCAGTACATGCAGCGCGTAGGGGTACCTCTCTTCTCTGACACTGTGGTGGAAAAGCTCGGCATGTATTTCTCGTTCTGTGAATGCCGAATAAGATAGCTTTTAGATCGACAATCGGTCATGCAGTACTGTTTACAGGTCAATAACTGTTTGTATAACAGTTCCCACAGCGTCGAGCAGCGGTCGACAAGAATCTTCATAAGAAGGACATGGCACTGAAACGTCATTGCATAAAGCGTGAGTCAATATCGTTTGTGGACAAGGCCCCATGCGTGCAAAAAGTAGGTTTTTAAGAAAATGATAGACTATTTGTATAACAATGCGGATGCTGATAGATTACAGGTGTTACAGGTGCTAACCACCAAGATGCGGCGCTTTGTCTCTACTTTGGTTCCTTTTCGGTTGCGCATTGGACCTCACAATGCTGCGGAAGCCTACTTTGTCTATAAATTAGTGCTACATAATCTTCGTCTATCATATCCGCATCACGACTACAGGAGCAGGGTCTTTTGATTTGCCCTGACAAAGACTTCGCCACGTGTCCTCAAGTGTCGATTTTCGTTATAAGTGAATAGCGATGTATTTTATAAGCGCTTTGTCGTACGCGTCACTTGTATCTTGATCGTTTCGATACGGGTAGGAGCACGCAACAAAAGCGACGTGAACCGTGCGGCAATAGCCAATATTCGGAGTTATATAGGGCCATCGAGAGGGTATTGCAACGTATTGTACAAGTACATTAATACATTCATTTGCACCAACGTATACATCTCGAGATCCCCACAAACAAAATCATGGTAAACACGTCATAGCATTTGCTAAAACAAGGACCCTTCTTGTCCCTTGCAGATTCACAGTCACCCAGTTGATGTCCTCGAGGACTTAAACCAACACCTTTGCCACGCTTGAGATACCTCTTCATATATTGCATACCGAACGCGCAGGGTACCTGTCCACAAATCATCGCACCGCAAATTGACCAAAGCCGCTTCCTTACTATCTCATGAGCTGCAGTTCGTCCGACTTGTTTACGCCATTGGCCGTCTTGACGAAATGTATACTGGTGACTCAACTAAGACGGGCAGCTTGCAGAATATGATTGATTAAGGCAGGTATAAGCTTTCTCGTGGTCGGTCGGTTCCTTGCACACCACGTGAAGCTTCGATCCTTATTATCCTCCAAAAATGCCGCGCGGCGCTGTTGCACATGCGCACTACCGCCATACAGCTTGCAG